TATGAGTCGCTGCCAGACTCTCCGCGACCGCCTGCTTCGGTGCGGAGGAACAATCACTGAAGAAAGCTTCGTGACACTTGTCCTCGCCGGGCTCGGGCCAGAATGGAGAACCACACGATCACTTCTTCGCGCCCACGGAAGAATTTCGGAGATGCACCTCTGCGCCGAGCTCCATGCTGAACAACAGGAGATGGATCTGTTCGAGGAAAGACAACCAAGGAAGCAACAGCAGTTAGTCTTCTACACTCAACGAAGAAATGACAACAACCACAACCGACGCGGCAAGCAAGAGCACGACAACAGAGGGACTACCTTCGTGCCGCCGTTCTGCCACAACTGTCAGACTTCCGGGCACTCCAAGGTCAACTGCAACCGCCCTCGCGTTTACCGTCCAGCAGACCCACAAGTCGCCTCAACCCAAGCAAGTCCCCCAAGGCGCTCTTCAACATCTGCACAACAAACATCAAATATTATTAACTGCATGGTACACATCGACAACTGCGCACCCGGATCACCACCCACTTACGCACCAGACGAAGAGGAATTCCCGCCGCCGCGCTCACAAGGACTTCAGGTCAACCCGACATACGCTGCAGTCGCCAACGCCGAACCCACCGGGCGGAACACCTGGTTCTTGGACAGTTGCTGCGGTCAGCACATGTGCTCCTCCGGACGCTTCGTACAACACGAGCGACGCCTCAACCGCGACGTCGTCATCACCGTCGCCAACAACGAAAACCTGAAAACAAACAGACAAGGCGTGGTTCAGTTACAATCAATGGAGACAAACGTTATTCTTCAGCTCAACAAGGTCCTCATCGTCGACAATCTGGGATACAACCTACTAAGCGTAAGCCAACTAATGGCTAAGGGGATTCACCTGGAGTGCGACTCCTTCTCCAACGAGTTCCGGCTTTACCACGGGAAGGGCGGCCTCTTCATCGGTCGTGCCCTCCTGAAGTCCGGCGTCTTCGTGTTGGACTTCGTCCCCGACCGCGGTACTGCCGATAGCGACGGTATCGTATCATTCGCCGCCTGGACTCACCCGCCGGATCTTGATCCCGACTTCGACAGTGACGGCTTCTGGCACTCCAACACCATACCTGCAGCAGAGAGAACACGAGCATTAGCAGTTATCAGACAAGAAAGACAAGTACCCGCAAGTATCCCAACCAAACCATCACCTGCAGTATCGGCAGCAGGACCCAGCCGAGTCCCACCACCAGCGACCCGAGGACCGCCAACCGAAGCAGACCAGCTTATGCCCATCACACGAGAAGTTTGTCGAAGTCCCGCCTCAGTCGTCGCGTTCTTCTCCAACGCCGACATCTACCATCGCTCGCCCGGTCATCGCGCTTCCGACGACATCTGGCACCAACGTCTCGGACATCCTGCAAACAGCACGATACTACAAACAATCCAAGCAGAGGTGTTAGAACGCAACGCCCTTCTAACGACGAGCGGCCAAGAACTTCGACGACCACGAGCACGATGCTTCACGTGCCCCGAAGCAGATCTTCCTCATCAACCTTTCCCATCTCATCACAACCCAAGCGCACCTACTTACGCTCCGATGGAAAAGGTCTACAGCGACATTTTAAACATGCCTCGAGAAGACACCGAAGCCGACTTCAACTACGTCATCACGTTCATCGACGCAGCAACCAGATACGTTTGGCACTTTAATCTCAAAACGCGCGATCAAGCCTTCGAGGCCTTCACCACATGGCTTCCCATCGCCGAACGAGAATCAGGAACCAAGCTCAAGAGCTTCCAGTCAGACGGTGCACTGGAATACCAGTCACAACGCTTCAGGACCTATCTGGCGGAAAGAGGAATCCGACGCCTGGTGTCTCTGCCCTATGCTCACCAGCAACAGGGGGTAGCAGAACGCATGAACCGGACCTTGCAGACGACGATGCGAAAACTACTGCTGGGGATGAGGCTGCCCACCACACTGTGGCCAGACGCGATGACACATGCCGTTCACCTGCACAACCTGCTGTCCTCGTCATCACTTCCCAACAACGCATCACCGCACCTGTTGTGGACAAGAAAAAGGGGCAGCACAAAATTACTCCGAGTTTTCGGCTGCATGGTACAGTACAGACCCCACACAGCCCGAGCAGGACGCTTCACACAACGAGCTCGGTGGGGACTACACCTCGGCATCGCAAAACATTTTCACGCGTGGAAAATTCTCGACATACAAGACAAAAATACCGTGGCATCACGTGATGTGATCTTCTACGAACGACTGACGCTGCAGCATTACCTGGACAACATTGCCAACACACAAGACCCCACCGACGGCTTCTCGGGACTTCGTTCCTTCGCCGACCGTGCTGCCGAAGCTGACGCAGCAGAAGAAGACGTACCTGAAGCCTCGGAAGCTGCCGGACCACTCCCATTCTGTTCCGTCCCTGTTCCACTCGACGAAGACAATCCTCTCGATAGCAACAACCTCGACACCTTTTACCACTTCGCTGACCAAGGTTACATTACACCCCACCCAGTCGACACAAATGTTTCAGAACGCATCGGTCCCAACTTCTTACCTGACCCAGAAGACGGTGACGAAGCAGCTTATTCCGGGAATGAAAATTCCCCTCGACACACACCCACGGGACTGCAGATTCTAGGCCTCTGGGTCTCCGTCCAGCATCCGCCGCCGCCTTCTCCGCGTGAGCCCTCGACCTTGTCGCAGGCTCTGGGGGGGGAACATAAGGCAAAATGGAAAGAAGCGATGGAAAAGGAGTTAAAGGCTCTGCAAGACCGAGAAACATGGAAAATGGTACCTGCAACAAGCATCAACGGGAAGAACGTCCTCTTGGGGAAATGGGTGTACCGCATCAAGACCAACTCAGACGGCTCCATCGAACGATTCAAAGCTCGATGGGTCGTACGAGGCTTCGATCAACGATACGGAACTGACTACACAGAAACCTTCGCTCCAGTCTCCCGTCACACCTCATTACGCATCCTACTCGCCGTCGCGGCCACGAAGACACTACCACTACGCCAAATCGACGTCGCCAATGCGTTCCTATACGCACCTGTGGACGCTGAGATTTTCGTCGAACAACCCCACGGATTCATCGACGACCCCACGAAAGTATGCCGACTGACAAAATCCCTATACGGGATCAAGCAAGCCCCGCGGCTCTGGCAGCAACACCTTCACGGCCGTCTCGCAAAAATCGGATTCCTACAACTGCCGCATGACCAAGGGATGTACCGACTGCAGAAGGGAAGAGAGTACGTCCTACTCATCGTCTACGTCGACGACCTGCTCTACATCGGCTCCACTACCGACATCGCTACCTGGTTCGAAGGGGAGCTGAAAGAAGACTTAACACTCACGGTGTCCGACGAAGTGACCCAGTACCTAGGACTGAATGTCGTCGAAGACGACACGACGTTCTACCTACACGCTGGAAAGTACTCAGGCACCGTCGCGAAGAAATTCAGCCTAACACCGACTACGGTCCCAACTCCCTACCGCTACGGGAACAACAACAGCACCTCCGCAAAACTCCCCGCGAAGCAAATCCAGGAGTATCAACAGAAGCTCGGCTGCCTACTGTTCGCAGCAGTAACCTGCCGACCCGACCTGTCCTATAGTGCGAGTCAACTGGCGACGCATCTGAAGCAACCGGAACAGGAAGATCTCGAGGAGCTCAACCGGGCACTACTCTACTTCGTCTCCACGCCGACGATCGGACTTACCTACAGCAAAGCGACAACACCGTCCGTACGACTACTCGGATACGTCGACGCCGACCATGCGGGAGATAGGGAAAATCGACGATCTAGGACGGGCTATATCTACCGACTAGAACCCATCGGAACTATCTCCTGGCAGTCGAGCAAGCAGGAGTTAATCGCACTATCCTCGGCTGAAGCAGAGTATATCGCCCTTTGTACTGCGACCAAGGAAGGACTCTACCTACGGGAGTTACTCGAGGAAGCGAAGATTGCGACCCTGCCCGCCTTCTCACTCCTCTGCGACAACCAATCTGCGATCAAAATCGCGAACAAGGACGGCTTCGCCAACCGAACCAAGCACATCGCCCTGCGGTACTTCTTCGTCAAGGATGAAATCGCGAAGGGGAGACTTCAACTCAGTTACTGCCCGACGACAGAAATGGCCGCAGATTATCTGACGAAGAAATTGGCGAAAGCAAAATTCGACTACTGCATGTTCCTGACCGGGCAAACAAACGTCACCGGACCCGAACACGTCAACACTCCAGAAACGAAGGGGAGTGTTGGAAATATCTCAAAGGACTTGAGCGTTTCTGAAGTGTAACACTGCACTCGAGGAAGACTACAAGGGAGCACGCGAGTCAACGGAGGTTACATGAGGGGACGGACAAAGAATGCGAAAAGACTCGAAAGGTCGCAACTGGAGGTTGCGACTGACCGTTACAACATCACGGATGGTAACCGAAGCGGCAGTCGAGTCGCTGTGCGACTCGATAAACCGTTCCTGTAACTGTATTCTACAACTGCTTTCTTATCTTCTATATATTGCTGTATGCTTGTTTCTTTAATCAATCACTTGTTCTCACATACTAGTACAAGGGTTCAACTGCCTCAACTTCCGCTGCACTACTCAAAGTCTCAAAGTCTCTACAGCTGGGACTTAGTCTCTGGAAAGATCCCAAGGGCTTTTCTCAGCCCAACATAGTTCAATCATTTTCTTTCTGATACGAGGGTATGAGGTGTGACTGGTTTCCAAGGACTTGCACAAAATCTTTTGGGTTGCTGAGGGTATGAGAGGAGTGTGACTGGTCGAGGACTTCGAGAATTCTTTCCTGGGGGTTGTGTGTGATTGGATGCGGTAATCACGGGTGGATGCAAATCTCGCTGTACTCGGTTTCAGACCCCCCCCCATAGACTTCGCTGAAACCTCAGCCTACACTCCAACGAAAACGCTGAAATCACCAGACATCGCTATAAACAAAAGGCTGAATTTGTCAGCCTTACCCATCTAAAAAAGTCTTACAGTTCAGCGTAGGTTCAAGAAAAAAGGCTGAAAAAAGGCTGAATCAGCGTAAAAAGGCTGATATCTAGGGGCCTGGCCCCCTAGTCACTCCAGTTACAGCACATAAACAGAACATTATACGCCTATGTATTTATTAGACAGATGGTTAATCATGCACTTGTCACATTACAATTGTTCACGTGCCTTTCATCATGTGAGAAGGCAGCGGCGGGTAGTAAAAGTCACTAGGTTTCTTCCCTTTCTTTCCCGCTTTGCCCGACCCACCCACACCTTCATCTCCCTCCAACGCCTGCAGGCTGAGCTCAGCACCTTGCCCGGTACCATCTTCCGGAAGGTGCATGGAACCTTCATTGTATGAAGCATCTGCTGCTATAAGCAGCCCTTGAGCATCTCTGGCAGTGGCACTGGGCAGAGCAGCACTGGCATGGCTTGCGGCTGCTGCAGCCGGGGCGGAAGCAGGGAGCGAATCGGATGAAGCAGCAGAGGATGCAGATAGCATGTCATGAATGGCGTCCACCAACTGCGCACAGGGGACAGGGTATATGGGAGAAGGATGGGAAATGGGAGAAGGATGGTGGTGAGAAAAGGGAACCGGCAGGGGATGAAGCATGGGGTGCAGCAGACAGCTTTTCCTGAATGCCCTGCTGCCTGCACCACAAGGTTTGAGGATGAGAAAAGCATGACTGGGAGGAATGAAGGGCAGGAAGTGAGAGTAGAAAGTGAGTAGGAAGTGACAGTAGGAAGTGCCAGAAGGCAAGGTGGAATAAACGCTCAAGTTTGATTGCGTATTGCGTTTAAACGCACAGATACGCCGAAAATACGTACGCTACGTTTTTGGCAGAGATACGCCGAAATACGCACGGGCTGACCGAGAAAAAAAAAACCAAAACATTTTGCGACTTAGCGAAAATTATTTTCGGCTTCGCACATCGCGAAACTCAACTTCGAATTCGAATTTCGAACCCTAAGCGCACCAACCCCCCCTTTGAACCTATGTCCACCCCACTCCATCTCGTCACTTCCCAATCCCTCCCAACTTATCCCTGAGATGAGTTGGCCTCAAACAGAATCAGCTCTCCTAGAATAAATTACTGCCATTTCAACACTAGATACTCATTCTCGCAGTTCCCTTCCTACCGTAGCTTGCCCGCCACCATGACTTCCAGCCCTACAGCATCACCCTCTCCCCCATCTGCTGAGGCACCCCGTAGTTCCACCTGCCCGGAAAAGTTTTTCCCCTGCCCAGGCCACTGTATTCTGTGCGTATCCGACCCCCTCCTCCTAAGCGTATTGCGTTTATACGCTCTCGTAAAAACGCTTTCGTATAAAACGCGATACGCGTATATTCCAACTTAGCCAGAAGGAAGTGTTTCACCGACGACTCACCAGTGAGACATCCACGGCTCACCTCATCCACGCCGAGACCCGACACGGTTGACACGCGCAAGGCTGCAGCAGGGCCCCCGTGAGTGCGGTACTCCTCCCATGCTGCCATGCCCGCCCCACCTGCTGCCACTGCTACTTTCTCCCCTACATCTGCTCCCTGCCCTGGCTCGGCTCCACCCAGCAGCCTTGCAGCATGGCCGCAGCTGTCTGTGCTGTTACTGCTGCGGTCTGCAGCATCAGTGTTGTTGTGAGGAGCATTGATGGCGTGTGGTGCCGCTTCCTCGTCTGACTGCTGCTGGTCCTCACCTCCCCTGCTCGCCTCCCCATGACCCCCCCTACTCTCGTCGCCCGTCCCTGGATGCCCACTGGCGGCTGCTTCCCCCAAGGGGGCAGTGGCAGCAGGCAGGTCGCACTTGGATATCACATCGATCCACACGCGGTCGGCAAACCTTGTCTTCATCTCGCTGTACAGTTGGTACTGGCAGGGGGTAGGAGATGGAAAGAGAGAAACTATCGTCTAAACGAAAGAAAAAAAAAGAGAGGATTGAGCAGGTAATCTAGACTGGATGCTTATGGGATGTAGGTGGGGTGCTTATGGAAAGTAGAAGAAAAACAAGAGAAGAATAGCGGGAAGTGGATGGAAAGGTAGAAGAACAACCAGAGGGTGCAGGCAGAAACACTCCTCACCTGCTTGCACCGATTCACACACCGCACTCCTCACCTGTTTCAACCGGTTCACACCGCACTCCTCCGAGGGGTCATGCACAAACAGCACTGCGGTGGGCAGATGGGTGATGGCCGCTATGGTGAGCAGCTCGATGTTGTTGCGCTGGGCTGGGGTTGATGGGAGCCGACGAGGACAAACGAGTAACAGGTGACGACGGAGAGAGAGCATGGGCAACAAACGGATGGCTGTGGCGATGGCTGAAGAAGCCATGGTGTTGCATCTACTGGCGGTGATTGGGGTGATGCATGAGAGGGTGATGCATGAGAGGGTGATGCATGAGAGGGTGATGCATGAGAGGGTGAAAGACAAGGAATGCATCAAAGTAGACTCTAGGCAGAGTGAGAGCACTGGGGGAATGAGGGGCTGTACCATCAGGGCGGGAGAGCAGGCCTGGTGTGTCGGTGACCTGGAGGCGGTGGGAGGGAAGAGCAGAGCGAACCAAAAACCCAAGAGGCAGCAGTAAGGCAAAGGTCGTGACCTCGGCAGGACGGCGAGATCATCCAAGCACTTGCCGGTGCTAGATAACAGCACTACACATGCATCATGCAACATGCATCATGCGACATGCATCATGCGACATGCATCATGCATCGTGCAACATGCATCATGCGACATGCATCATGCATCGTGCGACATGCATCATGTGACATGCATCGTGCGACATGCATCATGCGACATGCATCATGCGACTTGCATCATGCGACATGAATCATGCGACTTGCATCATGCGACATGCATCATGCGACATGCATCATTCAACATGCATCATGCGACATGCAACATGTAACATGGATCATGCAACATGCATCATGCGACATGCGACATGTGACATGCGACATGCATCATGCACCATGCAACATGCATCATGTTTCCGATGCTTCCGATGCTGATCATGCATCCACCATGTACCAACCACAATGCAACCATCGACCACCCTGCACAACGCATCTGGTGCTTCCTTGCGTCAACATTCATACTTGCGAAGGCAATATGCAACATGCACCACGAAACATGAACCTTGCAGCTGTGTACATGGTCACAAAATGGGTCACGGCGTAAGGAGTGTGTTGCACCATATCATGCAGCTCACCTGGTGCTTCCTCGTGTCAACATAGAAGTGCCCCATGCTGATGCCACGAGTGGTGAACGGGTAGTTGCACACCTGCACACACGTGGCATGTGTGTGTATACAACCCACACTTAGAGTGCATGTATTATAGCACGACACAAGATGCCACGCGTGGTGAACGGGTAGTTGCACACCTGCACACATGTAACACTCATGTGACACAGGTGTGACACACCGCCATTCAGGGTATGCTTCGCAAGCTTCGTTCCGTGAGCAAGCGTGGGCAACAGCATCTGCACTTATCATGGGGCAGTCAAGCTTTGAGGCGTTTGAAAATGATAAAACCTACATCAAGCTTTGAGGCGCATTCGGCATTCCTGGAGCGCACGAGCCAAAGTCGCCCCAAACTACTCCTCTGACGCACCTCTGGCTTGCCTGGTGATACTGGCGCTCGAGAACAGAGCAGCCCACAATGGGCGCCTGTACGCACCCATTATTGCATGCACTCGTGTGGGACCCTGCCTCTCTGTGCACGCCCATACGCTCTCCGCACACGCACCTCTGGCTTGCCTGACGATATGGCGCGCACGAGAGACGACTTGCCCACGTTGGGAGCTCCAACCAAACACAGCGTGGGCAGGTCTGGGCGCACCACTGGTATGCCTCTGAGCCTCTGAAAGCAGGGGCGCAGCACAGCACGCCCAGCAGGCACAGCAGGCACAGCACACACAGCACGCCCAGCACGCACAGCACGCCCAGCACGCACAGCACGCACAGCACGCCCAGCACGCCCAGCACGCACAGCACGCCCAGCACGCCCAGCACGCCCAGCACGCCCAGCACGCCCAGCACGCCCAGCACGCCCAGCACGCACAGCACGCCCAGCACGCCCAGCACGCCCAGCACGCCCAGCACGCCCAGCACGCCCAGCACGCACAGCACGCACAGCACGCACAGCACGCACAGCAGGCACAAGAGGCACAAGAGGCACAGAGGGATGAACAGACACAGGGAGGACTTGCCCACAGTAAGAGCCCCCACGAGACACAGAATTGGGAGGTCTGGGCGGACCACCGGTATGCCTCTGAGTCTGTGAAGGGACTTGAAACTAACTCTCTCTAACTCCAAGGGAGAAAGGAACATGCTGAAGAGGTGATGGCAGGCGGGCATCGAGGGGAGCACGCAGAGGCATGCAGCAAGGCATGCCATGCACACAGAGCAGAAACATGGAGGAGAATATGGCTTTCAAGTTCCAAGAATGAGTGGCATGGACGGCTGAATGGGCCAATGGATGCATCCAGGTGCTTGAGACTGGCAGCACACGAGACAGCCGCTCCCAAATCACTGGTTAAGAACTCCCAGCAGTTCCCCAACTGCCGAACAGATGGAGTTGGAAGAGGATTCCCCAGATAGACCACTCCAGCTGTTTGCCAGTAGGGAAATTGCTGCGAAGGGACTCCATCCTTCCCCCGCAGCCCGCACCTTGGTGATCTCTTTGAGTCGCTCCACCGCATGGCTGTTGCGCGTGTACAGATCCCCCAACTGAGAGATGCCCTGAGAGACAAAAATGGGTAGTGAGAGGCGAGGGGGCGAGAAGAGAGTGGTGAGTGGGAGCAGGGCAGAGAAGGAGGGGAACCTCTTTGAGCCTCTCCACCACGTGGCTGTAGCGGTGGTGCGGATCCTCCAGCTGCGAGATGCCCTGAGGAGGGAAGAGAGTGGTGAGTGGGAGCAGGGAAGCGAAGGAGGGTTACATTTCTTACTCTCTCCACCACGTGGCAGTGGTACCACGTGGCTGTTGCAGATCATTCAGATGGCCTGAGAGCCGAGTGAGAGGTGCTGGGAAGAGACGAAACTTGAGCGTAAAGCGGTAAAGGTATAGGGTGGAAACGAAGAGCAGCAAATGTACAGGAGGAAAAGTAGAGCGGTAAAGATATAGGAGGAAAATTAAAGCAGTAAAGAAGGAAAACGACACTTGGATACCAAGCTAACCGTCAAGTACTTGGAGCACATGTGTTTCAAGGTGCTAGCTTCAAGTACACATGTGGTTCAAGGTGCTAGCTTCAAGTACACATGTGGTTCAAGGTGCTAGCTTCAAGTACACATGTGTTTCAAGGTGCTAGCTTCAAGTACACATGTGGTTCAAGGTGATACAAGAGTACCATAAAAGTACCCTGTGCTGTGCCATGACCTGCCATGACCTGCCATGACCTGCCATGACCTGCCATGACCTGCCATGACCTGCCATGACCTGCCATGACCTGCCATGACCTGCCATGACCTGATTCCATTAGTGCTGCGAATACACCCACCTATGCCCTGGCCGGATAGAAAAACAGCTGGGACCATGTGTACCTGCGCCGTGACTTCCTCGGCTTCCTTCATTGTGCTCGTCTGCAGGCGGTACGGATTTTGGTTGAGAAGTAGGGCAACATCAAGCCAATCGCACAGCACAAGCAACGGGAAAAGGGGCAGGAACGAACGAAGGTGATGAGGGAAAGAGAGGAGGCAGAAAGACATGTGATAAGAAGGGGGCGGAGGAAGTGCCTGTGATAGGACCTGGAAGATGGGGCCGAGAGAGAGGAAGGAGGAAAATGGTGGAGGAAGTTAGTTTTGAGGCGCCTCAAAACGAAAACGGTGGAGGAAGTTAGTTTTGAGGCGCCTCAAAACGAAAATGGTGGAGGAAGATGGTTCTGAGGCGCCTCAAAACGAAAAATGGTGGAGGCAGGGAACGCGAGGACGGAGGACGGAGCCAGCAGAGGCATTTGCCAGCTTGTTGCCGATGAAAAGACAGCTACAGGGGTGCTCAGGTAAAAGAGCTACAGATCTGCAGGCTACAGTTATCAAGGCTGGCAGCACGTCTCCGCGCACCTTGTTTAGCTCTCGGCATTCTCCCCAACGTCCAGCACCATCTTCCACACACACATACACTAGAACTGTGAGCCGACATGTGCACGCTACACATACGCAGGCTACAGCTCGGTGCACCTTGCTGACGAGGCTGGCGGCAGTCTTCTCAACGTCCAGCACCCTCATTCACACATGGAGGGCTACAGCTATGCAGGGCTAGGGTTATGCAGGGCTGCAGACATGCAGGCTACGAATACCAAGGCTAGCTGCACATCACAGCGCACCTTGTTGACGAGGCTGGCGGCATTCTTCCCCACGTCCAGCACCTTCTTCCGAAGGGCGTCCACTCGAGCCAGCACCTGCCAGGCAAGGGAGATGTGAGGAGCGAGGTGGAAAGCACCAGGAGAGAAAGAAAATCAGCATTGGAAATTGGAATGGAGCGGCGGAAGGCCAAGGGAGCCAGGGGCACAGATAGGGAAGGGTTACTCGGAGCTAGTTAGGGTGGAGACAACATGCACATGTGCGTTCGAGTCTCAGACTAAGAACGACGTTCAGACGTGTCCTGCCCAAAGGGCAATGCAAATGCCTTCATCGCGGTTGAAGGGGTATGTGAGAATATGCGCATCCCTTTCACACAGTTCATGACAAATTTCCAAACTGGTCAGAAAGAAAGCGCCAAAACTCTGCTGGAAGCCCAACCCTTGGTGCGTGCCTCCCCATTGAATCTCCTCCAACCAGCCGTTTCTAGCCTTTATATGAAGAACACTCCCTTAAAACGAGTTCCACCAGACACGGAGCAGAGCTTGTACTCTCACTTACTCCAAAACAGCAAGGCGCCTCACAGCCCCCTTGCCTTTGTCACCTCATACACCCCTTCCCTCTCACATCCTCATAAACCCCTTCCCTCTCACATCCTCATACACCCCTTCCCTCTCACATCCTCATACACCCCTTCTCCCAGGGTGAGCTCTACCAGCTGCCAATTAAAGGCGTGCAGCTGGTGGGGCCTGCCTGCCCACGCACACCTGTAGGTGAGAGCTGCTGGTCCCACTCACCTCCTCATAGACCCCCTCTCCCAGGGTGAGCTCCACCAGCTGCCGCTCGAAGGGGTGCAGCTGGTGGCGGCGGGGGAAGAGGCGCACGTAGCGACCCAGCGGGCCGCTGATCTCCTGTGAGGGGGACAAGGGAGACTCATGTTTTATTATTAAACAGGGGTCTCGAATGAGGTTTTGTTCAAGAGGAGATGCACACAGTGGAAAGAGGTCTATTTTTGAGGCGCCTCAAAAATAGACTCCTCACACACTGGAACGAGGTGCACGTAGCGACCCAAAGGGCTGCTGATCTCTTCCGAGGGGAGATAGGAGCTCATGGGGCGCAGTTCAACTTGAGGGTGGGGATTAGGGTTGGGATAACCGTAAACACATGCAGGGGAGGAAAGAGAGGCACACTTAACAATCAAGAGGCCCGATGATCTACTGCAATGGCAGATACGGGTTCAAGAGTTGCATTCTAAGGAGAGGGGGATAAGGGCTCGACTCGTGGCTTGAGAAGTGTGCTCGGGAAGACAGGCGCATGGAGGGGAAAGAAGGGCACGTATCAACCCAGAGGGCCTCTGACCTCGTGCAAGGGGAATCTGGGTTCATGGCATGGGGTACAGCTTAGGTTTCGGGGTTTAGATTTGGGAGGAGAAGTGCTTAGCGCCCCAGAGGGATGCTGATTTCATGCAGTGGGGTTGACTTGAAGTTCGGGCTTAGGAAACATAGGGGAAGGGAAGAGTTTGGGAAGGGAAAAAAAGGAGGGAAGGGAAGGGAAGGGAAGGGACGGGAAGGGATGGAAGAGGAAGGGAGGCAAGGGGCAGAGCAAGGTTGAAAAAAACGCCGTTTCTTTAATAGACGGGATTTTCCTCTCTTTTTTTTTCTTTTTTCTTTTTTTTGTTGAAAACATCCGACAGCTAGCAACGACTGCTGGTGGCTTCGTGATTTGCAAGGTGGGTGTGGAAAGAAATAGTAGACGCCACCGAAGCTTGGGCACCAACTCCTCCTCCTTCTACTCCCTCCTCTAGCACCTTCTCCACCCCTTGCCTATTGCGGCCAGCTCCTCCTCACTCCTCCTCCTCACTCCTTGTTCCTCACTCCTCCTCGTCAACCTCCTCCTCCTCCTCCTCCTCCTCTTCTTCCTCTCCTCCCCCTTCCCCCTGCCCCTCGCGCACCCACCCACCCTCACCCCCCCCCGCACTGAAATCCCATGGCCCGAGGCCATCTTCCTCCTCCTCGCTGCTGCAATCACTTGTTGCCTTTGCCGCCTCCTCCTCCTCCACCTCTTTGCCTTTCCCAGTCCCCTTCTTTGCCCCGCAAACCTTCTTTCCCCCCTTCCCCTTGTTCTCCTTAGTCTTGCGCTTCTTAGGAGCACCGATGCTTCCAAAGGTGGCCCAATCAATGGTGCAGGCTCTAGCACCCTCCTCCTCCTCCTGCACCTCCTCCTCCTAACCCCCCTCCCCTTCCTCCGCTTGAGAGGAGGCAATGGCAGTGAGGGAAGGAGAAATGCTCCCCTCCCCCAACACGCTCGACCCGAGGTTGGCATAGAGACGCTCCTGGGCTGCCTGTTTGCGATTAAAAGCGGCCCGCGATCGCCGGCTGAACGCCACCACCGTGACATCGATCATGGTGTCAGAATTCAGCCGGTTGTGATCGCGTCGCTGCACCCGGTTGAAAGCCGACCACGCCCGCTCCGCCTCGGACGACGTGCACGGTTGGGAGAGGATCCTAACGGCCATTTCCTGAAGCGCCCTCACCTCCCCCCCGTAGGTGGACCACCACTCCGCCTCAGAGAGCCTCCCGCTCTCCACCAAAGCGGTGGCGGTCCACCGCGCCTCCTTGCCTCCCAAACTCCCGTTCCCACTATGGTAGTGGGCGAGTTGGGCTTGGAGGAGAGTGCGGCGCTGAATGTTCGTCTCCCGCACCTCAAGCACCCTCTCCATCCCGTTCACAATCTCCGAATCGGCCCTAACCTCCTCGGCAAAGCGGTTGACGGGGTTGAGGAGCCAACTAGCCGCATGCAAAGGGTTATGCAGCTGACTGTCCCAACGCTGGGAAATAATCCGGCGCACCTTGGCCAGGAAGGAAGCCTTGTCCTTGGCCAAGAGCAGCCCGGTCTTCTTCACGAAGTATGTGGCTGCACAAGCAATGAGGTGCGCAAGCAATGAGGTGCGCAAGCAATGAGGTGAGTGTGGGGTACAATATGGGGGGAGTGGGATCTTGTACACAAGCAATGAGGTGAGTCAAGCACCATGCATGTGGAACATGGGGACTTACCCGCCCACTCGGCCGCCTCGTTGGTCTTCATCGTGGCGTTGAGCATCAAGCCGTAGATCCTTCCCATGAGGTGAGCCCGCGTGTCTACCGCCCGGAGCACTTCGTACACCGCGGTCATGAGTTTCAGCACCAACCCCACCGAGCCCCAAAAGGCATCGTCAAGGAGGAGGCGGCGGATTCGCCGCCCCTCCTCTGTTTTCGCAACCGGCACCTCCCCCCACTCTTCGCTAATTACCATGTTGCGCAATTGTCGCTTCACCTCCAAGAACCACGACACCATGATCACTTGAGTCCCGAATCTGGTGGTTCCCGGTCGCACGAGCTCAAGCTCGCTGAAAACCTCCCGAAAGAGATTAACGGCGGTGGAGCTGTTCTTCACCAACATTACCACACGGTGAGCCTAAAGCAACACCTTCCTAACCACCCCAATGGACCCGATATCTTGAAGCATCAAATCCAAGCAATGCGCGGCGCAATTAGTGAAAAAAACGGAGGGGTACCCTTCACAGAGCTCGTCGGCCGCCTTCTTGTTATTGCTAGCGTTGTCCATCACCACTTGGACAACGCTATTATCCCCCACCTCCACGATCGCCGGCCGGATCAGCGACGCAAGGTAGGTGCCCGTCTTCTTGTTCGTCGCCGTGTCTACCACGGCGACGACCACGGATGCGGTGCCATTCATAACGATGATGCAAACGAGCCCACGATTCTTCATGTCCGACCACCTGTCCACGGAGATCGAGCATCCGCTCGAGGCCCAAGAGTCCTTGATCGTTGCATGAGGGCCTCCGTGTCGGTTTTCAGCTTGGCAAGGAGAGGGTGGGAGACTTTGTACACACTTGGCAGCGTGTAGGGCTTCCCGTAAGCGACAACCCCCTCGACAAAGGATTGCAAGGCGGGTGACCTAGTTGAGGGGAGCGAGGAGGGAGGTGTAATTAGTTGAACACCGCGCTCGCAAGAGCAATCCGAGATAGAACAGTATGCCGGGGCGGGAGAAGATGTGTGAAGATGCATGGGATGGCACGATTTCGGGGCCTACTTACTGAGAAACTCTGAAGGCCCAATCGTTTTCGACGACGGCCATGGCCCAAAGGAGATCCAACGCGTCGCGGCCGGCCTTGTCGACCATCCCTTGGATGTCGCGATTTCGGCTGCGCTTAGCGGTCGGAGCAGGATCCGTGGACGTCGTACCGCGGATCATGACGGTAGTGGTATTCGGGGTGAGACCCTTAGCACGGAGATTCATAGCATACTCGCTCTTGCACTCAGCAATGTACTTGAACTTGCACGCCGGGGTGCCATAAAGGTGCTCCTGGATGCGAGTGGTGCTTCCAGAAATATTCATGTTGCAGTAGTTGCACTCCGACCGGATGACCTTGCCTTGGTCATCTCAGGTTTGGTTCACATGAACCCACAACGCCGACGGGGTGAGCGGCATGGCTGAAAAATGCAATCTAAAGTCAACGTAAGCTGATGTTAGAACGTGCGCAGGCGAGGGACTGGAAACGGAGGGCCAAAATTGCCGGCAAGTATGCTGGGCGAAGCTAAGGTGGTGATTTCTGGTGGTAAAACTGAAAACTTTACCTCTCGATTTGCCCTTTGCATTTGTATCTGGTGTTGCAGGTTGGGTTTGGAGTTGGTTGCGTGAGGGGGGAGGGGACGAATTGGATGGAATTCCAATTTGAAAATGCGCTTCGGTAGCACCTCGGTTTGGCGTTTCGCTTTGCACGAACGCATGCTACTGGGCGTAGACATTGGCATGAGCCGAGCTTGGCTCGGCTCGGCTCGTCCAGGGGTCGAGCCGAGCCGGCTCCCCGTCGAGCCTGGCTAGGCTCGAGTCGAGCCGGGCACCAAACATGCCTGGCTCGGCTCGGCTCGCCTAGCATGCACTTAAAGCCCGTCCGGCAGGTTGCATATTGGTACTGTTGAAGTAGGTGGAGCGGCAGATTACGATTGGTTGACGAGGAAAAAGATAAACGAAATGTTTTTGCGAAAATTCATAATCGTCTACCTCGTGCTTGCGCAGGAGTTCCCAAGGACTATGCAACCTGGCAGAGGTGTCAGGTTTGAGCCCCGTCATTTGGCAGGGGACTCACACCTGCCTCTTTGCCATGTTGCAAGGGGGGTTTTCGTGCCTGCGTTTTTGCGCTAACAGCCCACATCGTTTTTTTTGTTAGGGCAAGTTGAAAGGAAACGAGTCTCAACTATTGGGCTTCAGTTTCGCCCTTGTGCAATCAAACACACATTGATACACTTTCGCTAAACCGCCTGAAAGTCAAAATTTGAACGAGTAATTACCCTTTGAGCACACTTCGTGCTTGTTCACCTCGATACCTGGCAGGGACGCAAACTTGCCAAGTTTGTCGAGGCACAGAGTTGAGGTGTTTGAGTCTCGTCAACTACTGCTGCGGGTGGGTTCGGTTACAGGTTCTCAAGATGCAGCATCTTGAGAAAAGAGAGTTGCAACCTGCTGGTCGGGCTTTAAGCCAACAGTAGTGTGGGTGGAGCCTATGCAAGCGCGTGTTGTTAAGAGTGGCACGGGCTGCTTAATATTTCTCGCGCGAACTAACCTAATGAGATACTCCTAGGCACGCAGAATTCTAGGGATCGCGGAATTGACGGGAAGTGGATTGTGAGGAGGAAGGAGGGTGTAAGAGGTTAGGTTGGAAGTTGTAGATGCAAAAGTGTGCACTGGGTTGGATGTGTTTTTGGTCGTCAAAGTTTGGGGTTGCGACTGGTTGAATTCTGGAGGTCGCAATGTCGCGGGAAAGAATTTCGCGTCAAACATTTTGGGCGGGCGTTTAGCGTTTACCCTTTAAATGCAGCGTTTAAACGATAAACGCTGCACCGCCAAAGCGATTGCGGGAACATAGACTAGGAGTTGTTGGCGGGAGAGAGAAATGGGAGACACGTTTTGTCGAGGGGAAAATTTTACCCTTGAAATCGAGTGGCGAGCCACCTGGCTCGAAATCAAGCCGGGGACGAGCCGGCTCGACCCCGGCTCGACGAGGACATTGTGTACGAGCCGAGTCGAGCCGGCTCGGCTCGAGTCGAGCCGGATCCCGAAAAGAAAGGCTCGGCTCGTCATTTTCGGCGAGCCGAGCCGAGCCGAGTCGGATGTGGCTCGGCTTGTGCCCATGTCTAACTGGACGCGAAATGAAACGCCAACCCGTTGTGAAGCCCTTGTCAGTTTCGCAACGGGTTTGGCGAAAAAACAAAATGTGCGGCTCGGGAAAATGTCGAGGGCGCGCCTCGGGAAAGTGTTGACCGATCCGATTTCGATGGGTTGGGTGTACACCCAACCGTCGAAATCTGTAACGAATTCATCAATTCGACAAATACATGTACGTATGAAATAAACGGCCGTTTAAAACGACCGCTTTTTTCCACCAAAAAAAAGGAAACATTAGGGATTGTGTTATATCGTTTTAAACGGCCGAAAAACACGGTACCATAGCAACGGTCCAAAAACGCCGTTTTTTTTTACCTGGGGCAGAGTCGCAAACATCAGAGAAGAAAGGAAACCGAAGGTAGAAAATCGCATGGGGCAGGCGGGGAGATGACGCATGTAGAGGAGATTATACGAGGGAGAGAGGAGAACGTACACCACACATGCCACGCATGCCACTTATGCCACGCATGCCACGCATGCCACACATGCCACGCATGCCACGAATGCCACACATGCCATATGTGACATACATACCATACAACAATACACGTCGTACATGCCTTGGTGAGGCAGTCCAGCTGTTGAGCTCCTTTGCTCCTCTCTCGCTTCACCGCATTCATGATGCCTGCACGCACCATGCACGCACCATGCACGCACCATGCACGCACCATGCACGCACCATGCACACACCATGCACGCACCATGCACACACCATGCACGCACCATGCACGCACCATGCACGCACCATGCACGCACCATGCACGCACCATGCACGCACCATGCACGCACCATGCACGCACACACAATGCACCCACCATGAGAAATAGGAAACGAGACCACCATAAAGCATGCACCATGAACCCGAAGGTTTTGGGTTTAAGGTTTCTAGTCAGGTTTTATGCTGAAAGAATGGGTGGTTGTGCGTGTTTGAAGGGGGTGGGAGGGACGGGGGGGGAGGGAGGGGAGGAGAAGAGGAATGGGGGGGGGGAGAGGAGGAACGGGATGGGGGAATGGGTAAGGGGGTTTGGGGGTTTGGGGGTTTGTGGGTTTGTGGGAGTTTAAGTGCAAAATACGGAGTGAACGGGATAGGGAGCAAGCACCAACTACCAGTCTCTATCCCTCACCTTTGCTCCCCTCTGCTTTCCTCGCTCAGCGCAGTCCCAACGATTTCAGCAGCGGGCGACATGGGCTTAACCACCCCTGACTTCGTACTTCAGTGTTTTGAAAGTTGCCTTTGCTCCCCTTTGCTCCCAAATTCACCCCTTTGCTCACCTTTGCTGGCGCGCACGTGCTTGGCGCGCCTCAGTGCAGTCCCGATGATTTCAGCAGCAGGAGACACGGCAGGCAGCTGCTGCAGCGCGCCGATTTCGTACTGCCGCTTGCTAGTATGGTGGGGAGGGGAAGCGGGGTCGGCGGAAGAGGCGGAAGCGTCGGCGGAGGACGAGGGGGAGGATGAGTGGGGGGATGAAGGGGAGGATGAGGGGGGCGGGAGCGAGGCAGCCGTTGCGCCTGAAGCAGTGGCAGCGCCTTCAGCGGCGGCGATTGCGGCGATATCGCCAGCCATGCCCCGCCAGGTGGCACGGAGAGGAGGCGCGGAATAACGACGGGCGGGACGGACGGGATGTGGCGGCGAGAGAGGGAGGGAGATGGAAGAAGAGTAGATGCACGCGACGGCGGCGGCATGCATGGCGGCGGAGGCCATAGCGGCGCTTCTGTAAGTCCCTCTTCGAGACGCGAGATCGACGGCGGTGAGTGGGATGACGGCAATGGGGTGGAGACGGCCAGGGAATTGCCTGAAGTTGAATAGCTGCGCAGGAACGAGTGCAGACGAGTGACACCTTCTACTAGAGCGGGTGCTACTAGCGCGAGTGCTACTAGAGCGCGTGCTTCTATACCGAATGCTTCTAAAGTTCCGGCTCGTCGTCGGGCTCCATGAAAGCGAGACGGGCGTCCGCTCCACGTGGCGGCATGCGAATTGTTCCACGTGGCGGGATGTGAGCCGCACTGCACCGCAACGCGCGCTAACTTGCATGGCGGCTCGGATGGTGCGTGCGGACAGATAGACGAGGCGAGCGGGCGTTTTGAGAAAAGACGTCTCAAGATACGAATTTGGATGGGGACGGTGCAGGCGATGCGAGAGGTCGCTGCGGCGAGCCGGGGGAAGTCAAGGCAAGTGCGCCTCCTGGAAGAGCGTCTGGGGACTAGGTGTGCTGGCGATGGCAGCCTCCTCGATTTGCAACGAAGCAAGAGAATGGTTCATCTACACGACGGAAAACGTACAGTCCACGAATTTAGGACGTGTATGAAGTGAATCCTTAAAGCCCAGGTCCCAAGTTACAAGGTGCCAAGCATTTTTGTTAACAATTCTAGAATGCCTTAGGATGGTTACTCCATGCACTTTGTGTAAGGAATTATTAATTCCTTTCTGAGGCTTGCTACAGGGCGTACGACTCGAACAGTCCCGAACCATCGCCAGGGTTCCAGACCTTTCAGTTCTGTTGGAAATATCTCAAAGGACTTGAGCGTTTCTGAAGTGTAACACTGCACTCGAGGAAGACTACAAGGGAGCACGCGAGTCAACGGAGGTTACATGAGGGGACGGACAAAGAATGCGAAAAGACTCGAAAGGTCGCAACTGGAGGTTGCGACTGACCGTTACAACATCACGGATGGTAACCGAAGCGGCAGTCGAGTCGCTGTGCGACTCGATAAACCGTTCCTGTAACTGTATTCTACAACTGCTTTCTTATCTTCTATATATTGCTGTATGCTTGTTTCTTTAATCAATCACTTGTTCTCACATACTAGTACAAGGGTTCAACTGCCTCAACTTCCGCTGCACTACTCAAAGTCTCAAAGTCTCTACAGCTGGGACTTAGTCTCTGGAAAGATCCCAAGGGCTTTTCTCAGCCCAACATGGTATGAGAGCTGGTCAGAGACCAAACTCCCAGCAACTACGTTCTATCACCAACCTGCAACTGAACTCAATTCAACGACTTCATTGATTGCAAGACATGGACAGCAAGGGCAAGAAAGCCTCTACGGGCTCACCCAGCGGCCAAGAAACTCAACACGGCAACTCTGGTCTGCACACCTCAGGACTGCAGACAGAGACCGGGACTGCTCAAGAAACAACGGGAAGAGTACCAGAGATGGTTACTCCATCTCCCTCTTCAAGCGTGGACCCCAACCTTATGGAAAGGTTCTTCAGCTTCATGTCGCACTTCGACCAGCAGCAGCAGACAAGAACACCTGCGCATTCAACACAGAGCAATGGAGGAAACATGGGATTAGCGCCGATGAGCCTCGACAACTCATCCTTCGGGCGACACAACCAAGCGCCTACCTTTGCGCCGTATCATTCTTCACCGGGGACGTTCGAGTTCATGCCGCCCCGCGCCCAACCAACAGCAGCTGCATCACAACAAACACCAAACGAGATTCTCAGTCTTCAGGCTCAATTCTCACACGTCATCAAGTTACAAACATCCTCACCGTTCAACGGACACGACTTCTTTACCTGGAGCTTCGAGTTCGAGCTGCTGATGGAGGCCGCGCATCTTCTGGGATACTTCAACGGGTCCCTGCCATTCCCAAGCAACGGCACTGGAAAGGAACAAGAGATCTTCACGTATCAGTCGCTACTGGCGTATACAGTCCTCCTGCGGAACCTGTCACCACAAGAGCAGCAGAGCATCAGAACATATCGGAGCTATGGGAACTCCGCGGAACTCGCATGGCATCATCTCAAGTGCCTTTATCAAGCAAACGACAGCGTGACGCAAAGCAGACTCATGCAACAACTGACAACAATACAGATGAAGACCGGGGAAAAGGCAATGCAATATATGAGTCGCTGCCAGACTCTCCGCGACCGCCTGCTTCGGTGCGGAGGAACAATCACTGAAGAAAGCTTCGTGACACTTGTCCTCGCCGGGCTCGGGCCAGAATGGAGAACCACACGATCACTTCTTCGCGCCCACGGAAGAATTTCGGAGATGCACCTCTGCGCCGAGCTCCATGCTGAACAACAGGAGATGGATCTGTTCGAGGAAAGACAACCAAGGAAGCAACAGCAGTTAGTCTTCTACACTCAACGAAGAAATGACAACAACCACAACCGACGCGGCAAGCAAGAGCACGACAACAGAGGGACTACCTTCGTGCCGCCGTTCTGCCACAACTGTCAGACTTCCGGGCACTCCAAGGTCAACTGCAACCGCCCTCGCGTTTACCGTCCAGCAGACCCACAAGTCGCCTCAACCCAAGCAAGTCCCCCAAGGCGCTCTTCAACATCTGCACAACAAACATCAAATATTATTAACTGCATGGTACACATCGACAACTGCGCACCCGGATCACCACCCACTTACGCACCAGACGAAGAGGAATTCCCGCCGCCGCGCTCACAAGGACTTCAGGTCAACCCGACATACGCTGCAGTCGCCAACGCCGAACCCACCGGGCGGAACACCTGGTTCTTGGACAGTTGCTGCGGTCAGCACATGTGCTCCTCCGGACGCTTCGTACAACACGAGCGACGCCTCAACCGCGACGTCGTCATCACCGTCGCCAACAACGAAAACCTGAAAACAAACAGACAAGGCGTGGTTCAGTTACAATCAATGGAGACAAACGTTATTCTTCAGCTCAACAAGGTCCTCATCGTCGACAATCTGGGATACAACCTACTAAGCGTAAGCCAACTAATGGCTAAGGGGATTCACCTGGAGTGCGACTCCTTCTCCAACGAGTTCCGGCTTTACCACGGGAAGGGCGGCCTCTTCATCGGTCGTGCCCTCCTGAAGTCCGGCGTCTTCGTGTTGGACTTCGTCCCCGACCGCGGTACTGCCGATAGCGACGGTATCGTATCATTCGCCGCCTGGACTCACCCGCCGGATCTTGATCCCGACTTCGACAGTGACGGCTTCTGGCACTCCAACACCATACCTGCAGCAGAGAGAACACGAGCATTAGCAGTTATCAGACAAGAAAGACAAGTACCCGCAAGTATCCCAACCAAACCATCACCTGCAGTATCGGCAGCAGGACCCAGCCGAGTCCCACCACCAGCGACCCGAGGACCGCCAACCGAAGCAGACCAGCTTATGCCCATCACACGAGAAGTTTGTCGAAGTCCCGCCTCAGTCGTCGCGTTCTTCTCCAACGCCGACATCTACCATCGCTCGCCCGGTCATCGCGCTTTCCGACGACATCTGGCACCAACGTCTCGGACATCCTGCAAACAGCACGATACTACAACAATCCAAGCAGAGGTGTTAGAACGCAACGCCCTTCTAACGACGAGCGGCCAAGAACTTCGACGACCACGAGCACGATGCTTCACGTGCCCCGAAGCAGATCTTCCTCATCAACCTTTCCCATCTCATCACAACCCAAGCGCACCTACTTACGCTCCGATGGAAAAGGTCTACAGCGACATTTTAAACATGCCTCGAGAAGACACCGAAGCCGACTTCAACTACGTCATCACGTTCATCGACGCAGCAACCAGATACGTTTGGCACTTTAATCTCAAAACGCGCGATCAAGCCTTCGAGGCCTTCACCACATGGCTTCCCATCGCCGAACGAGAATCAGGAACCAAGCTCAAGAGCTTCCAGTCAGACGGTGCACTGGAATACCAGTCACAACGCTTCAGGACCTATCTGGCGGAAAGAGGAATCCGACGCCTGGTGTCTCTGCCCTATGCTCACCAGCAACAGGGGGTAGCAGAACGCATGAACCGGACCTTGCAGACGACGATGCGAAACTACTGCTGGGGATGAGGCTGCCCACCACACTGTGGCCAGACGCGATGACACATGCCGTTCACCTGCACAACCTGCTGTCCTCGTCATCACTTCCAACAACGCATCACCGCACCTGTTGTGGACAAGAAAAAGGGGCAGCACAAAATTACTCCGAGTTTTCGGCTGCATGGTACAGTACAGACCCCACACAGCCCGAGCAGGACGCTTCACACAACGAGCTCGGTGGGGACTACACCTCGGCATCGCAAAACATTTTCACGCGTGGAAAATTCTCGACATACCAAGACAAAAATACCGTGGCATCACGTGATGTGATCTTCTACGAACGACTGACGCTTGCAGCATTACCTGGACAACATTGCCAACACACAAGACCCCACCGACGGCTTCTCGGGACTTTCGTTCCTTCGCCGACCGTGCTGCCGAAGCTGACGCAGCAGAAGAAGACGTACCTGAAGCCTCGGAAGCTGCCGGACCACTCCCATTCTGTTCCGTCCCTGTTCCACTCGACGAAGACAATCCTCTCGATAGCAACAACCTCGACACCTTTTACCACTTCGCTGACCAAGGTTACATTACACCCACCCAGTCGACACAAATGTTTCAGAACGCATCGGTCCCAACTTCTTACCTGACCCAGAAGACGGTGACGAAGCAGCTTATTCCGGGAATGAAAATTCCCCTCGACACACCACCCACGGGACTGCAGATTCTAGGCCTCTGGGTCTCCGTCCAGCATCCGCCGCCGCCTTCTCCGCGTGAGCCCTCGACCTTGTCGCAGGCTCTGGGGGGGGAACATAAGGCAAAATGGAAAGAAGCGATGGAAAAGGAGTTAAAGGCTCTGCAAGACCGAGAAACATGGAAAATGGTACCTGCAACAAGCATCAACGGGAAGAACGTCCTCTTGGGGAAATGGGTGTACCGCATCAAGACCAACTCAGACGGCTCCATCGAACGATTCAAAGCTCGATGGGTCGTACGAGGCTTCGATCAACGATACGGAACTGACTACACAGAAACCTTCGCTCCAGTCTCCCGTCACACCTCATTACGCATCCTACTCGCCGTCGCGGCCACGAAGACACTACCACTACGCCAAATCGACGTCGCCAATGCGTTCCTATACGCACCTGTGGACGCTGAGATTTTCGTCGAACAACCCCACGGATTCATCGACGACCCCACGAAAGTATGCCGACTGACAAAATCCCTATACGGGATCAAGCAAGCCCCGCGGCTCTGGCAGCAACACCTTCACGGCCGTCTCGCAAAAAATCGGATTCCTACAACTGCCGCATGACCAAGGGATGTACGACTGCAGAAGGGAAGAGAGTACGTCCTAACTCATCGTCTACGTCGACGACCTGCTCTACATCGGCTCCACTACCGACATCGCTACCTGGTTCGAAGGGGAGCTGAAAGAAGACTTAACACTCACGGTGTCCGACGAAGTGACCCAGTACCTAGGACTGAATGTCGTCGAAGACGACACGACGTTCTACTACACGCTGGAAAGTACTCAGGCACCGTCGCGAAGAAATTCAGCCTAACACCGACTACGGTCCCAACTCCCTACCGCTACGGGAACAACAACAGCACCTCCGCAAAACTCCCCGCGAAGCAAATCCAGGAGTATCAACAGAAGCTCGGCTGCCTACTGTTCGCAGCAGTAACCTGCCGACCCGACCTGTCCTATAGTGCGAGTCAACTGGCGACGCATCTGAAGCAACCGGAACAGGAAGATCTCGAGGAGCTCAACCGGGCACTACTCTACTTCGTCTCCACGCCGACGATCGGACTTACCTACAGCAAAGCGACAACACCGTCCGTACGACTACTCGGATACGTCGACGCCGACCATGCGGGAGATAGGGAAAATCGACGATCTAGGACGGGCTATATCTACCGACTAGAACCCATCGGAACTATCTCCTGGCAGTCGAGCAAGCAGGAGTTAATCGCACTATCCTCGGCTGAAGCAGAGTATATCGCCCTTTGTACTGCGACCAAGGAAGGACTCTACCTACGGGAGTTACTCGAGGAAGCGAAGATTGCGACCCTGCCCGCCTTCTCACTCCTCTGCGACAACCAATCTGCGATCAAAATCGCGAACAAGGACGGCTTCGCCAACCGAACCAAGCACATCGCCCCTGCGGTACTTCTTCGTCAAGGATGAAATCGCGAAGGGGAGACTTCAACTCAGTTACTTGCCCGACGACAGAAATGGCCGCAGATTATCTGACGAAGAAATTGGCGAAAGCAAAATTCGACTACTGCATGTTCCTGACCGGGCAAACAAACGTCACCGGACCCGAACACGTCAACACTCCAGAAACGAAGGGGAGTGTTGGAAATATCTCAAAGGACTTGAGCGTTTCTGAAGTGTAACACTGCACTCGAGGAAGACTACAAGGGAGCACGCGAGTCAACGGAGGTTACATGAGGGGACGGACAAAGAATGCGAAAAGACTCGAAAGGTCGCAACTGGAGGTTGCGACTGACCGTTACAACATCACGGATGGTAACCGAAGCGGCAGTCGAGTCGCTGTGCGACTCGATAAACCGTTCCTGTAACTGTATTCTACAACTGCTTTCTTATCTTCTATATATTGATGTATGCTTGTTTTCTTTAATCAATCACTTGTTCTCACATACTAGTACAAGGGTTCAACTGCCTCAACTTCCGCTGCACTACTCAAAGTCCTCAAAGTCTCTACAGCTGGGACTTAGTCTCTGGAAAGATCCCAAGGGCTTTTCTCAGCCCAACAAGTTCGACCCTCTGGGGCCTTTCCGGACCTCGCTTCGACACATCGAGGCCCTTCGACACTTTTCTCGAACCTTCCGATCCTACGTCCAGGATCACCCTAGGCTTTCTATATATTGTGTTGTCTTTCATTTGATTGTCATTCACTTGTTCACAGTTTTGCCATTGCCCTCCGCGCTACTTCGGCAGTCCCATTCATAACACTTGGTATTCAGAGCCCACTTTCCTCACCCGCTGGGCTTCCCGGGGGCAGAATTTTTTTGTTGGGGGGGGGAGAGCCATCCCTCGAGGGCGGTTGTGTCCGTCCTGACATGGTGAAGTTTTTGAAGAGTGTTTCCGGTATGTTGTTCATTTCGCATATCGTTAAAGAAGTTTCGGTTACAGTTTCGGAATTTTCGGCAAGCAGCAACGACGATGCGGATTGGTGTCTTAAGGGAGCGAGGAGCTCGTTACGAGACGACAAGCTCGCGAATATTCCTAGGCGAAGAGGATTTCGTTAGGAGCGCGGGTAGCAGACGTGGCTGCATCGTGAAGTGTAGCTGATGTCAAAGGGCTCGGCGTTTCCGGCAGGCGACACGCAGGTGAAGACGGGACTTCGCATACTGTTCAGCAACGTGGCGTTGGAGTTTTCGGCACGACAAAGGATCGCACGGCAGCACACGTGGGGCTCAGGCACGGAAGAGTTTCGAGGAGTACTGACATCAAAATTGTTTCGCGTGACCTGCCCACCTGGAGGTGTAATTCGTCAGCCCTGGAGTTTCGAGCTCGGCGAGTCTAGATTCCCGCAGAAAAAGCCATTTTCGTGGTCAGAAATTATACTCCACGATATACGGAGGACGACGAGCAACTACCATCAGGTTGAGTTTAAGTGTCATCACCGGGTTATCGCTAAAAGTCAACTACGAAGAGCTGAAGCAGAGAAGAAGAACGACTGGGAACAACTAGTTAAGAGTCAGCCGCAGACGGATCCCCCGACTGACTTGGTTGGGTCGCCCGATTTCAGCATCTCCACCGGGTGGTAGTACGATAAATGCTATCGACCGCTCCCGGACGAATTATGGGGGATGAGCTTGCGGATCACCCTGTGCTGGTGGATCGATCAGATCGACAGCATTCTATGGAGCATAATAATTATCTACGGCATCGGACAGAGCAAGAGTCTACGTGGCGCAGCTGCCCTGCGTTATAGGGTCGCGCTGAGACTGGTCCCGACCAATAGAGTTTGAAGATACTTCAAAGTTTTTGGGTCTGAAGAAACTTGAAGCAGGGTATATTCGGCATCGACGACAGATTTTGGTTTCATGGAGGGGGGAGAGAGCAGCTGCGCAGCAGTTGTTTTTTTTTTTTTTTTTTTTTTTTTTTCCCTCAACAATTGGCATCCATTGCAATAAGCATCGACGGATAGATGATGTCTGACCGACTGAATCGACGGACAGATTCGAGTTGGCCTTTGGGAAATTTCGCAGGAGTTTGCAAAGGTGAAAGTGTGTTTACATTAACCGCTTGAGGTGACATCGACTACGGTTACTGGACTAATGGTGTTTTTGTCCATATGCTGGACTTCGCTGACTTTCGTGAGACACGGACGCGTGTTCTCGCATCTGTCGCGAGTGGCCTCGCATTTGACGAATAGCAGGAGCTCGTTGACTTTGCGAAATGCAGACACGTGTTTCTGCAAGTGTCACTACTCACGTGGAATTAAACTAGGAGCTATCAACAGTTACGGAACTACGGACAAGTTTGGCGCATGCAGCAGATTCGGCTTGCCAACTTGCAGCAGTATGAATAACATGGTGTTACTGTGCGGATACCGTACACGACGACGGGAGTTGTAATTCTCGGCAAAGGACTCGCTGGAGACAAGGAAGTTGTGGTGCGGTAGTATCCCTACTGCCCGTTTGGTTATATGGGTAATTTGACCAAACTTCGACGGCTACGATCGACCGCGATCGTTTCGACGTGTTTCGACTATTGGATGGAGTTTCTTGATGAAGCTCGAGATTCTCAACAGTGGTGTCTCCACTACGATGAGATTCAGTTATAGTGTGTGTAGTTTTGTTTATTTGTGTGCTTATCTAGAAGGGGGGAGAGTGTAAGGAATTAGTAATTCCTTACTGAGGCTTGCTACAGGGCATACGACTCGAATTGTCCCGAACCATCGCCAGGGTTCCAGAACTTTCAGTTCGAGCCTCCTGGGCCTTTCCGGACCTCGCTTAGACACATTGAGGCCCTTCGACACTTTTCCCGAACCTTCCGATTCTACGTCCAGGATCACCCTAGGCTTTCTATATATTGCTTTGTCTTTCATTTTTTTGTCATTCAATCGTTCACAGTTTTGCCATTGCCCTCCGCACTACTCGGCAGTCCCATTCATAACACTTTGAGAATAGCGAGCAATGCAGAGCCGAACAGGAAATGGTGGCTTTTGATTGGGGGATGTGGCAAAACATGTTTCGCATACTAGCGCAAACTCCAACCAAGGCAGGAAAAATGGCTAAGGGAAAATGTTGACAACCAGGGCCTGTAAATTGGGACCTGCAGAAACACCATTTTGTTTACAATGCCAGCTACTAGTAGCATAAACACACGAGCCTAGTAGTCCATGGCTCAAAGCATATGCCCCTTATTCCGTTACAATAAAGAGCCTCCATCCTCACGTCCCGCTGTAGCCCTCCCCTCTTTCCACGTCATCCCTCCCGCTTCTCGCTAGCCTCCGCTACCCGCTTCTGGCTGCTCCCGCCTAGGCCCCACCACCAAGAAAGCTGCTTCAAGCCCAAGCTTCACAAGGCAAAACGAATCGTGGTTCCCGCGTCCCGCTTTCTGTTTTCCCGCTTCCCGATTCCCGCGTCCCGCTTTCCGCTCTCCTGCTTCCCGATTCCCGCTTGCCCCTTTGCCACTTCCCTCTACTTCTCGCTTAGGGGATGAGGGAAGGGAGTGGGGGGAATGAGGGAAGGGAGTTGGGGGAATAAGGGAAGGGAGTGGGGGAATGAGGGAAGGGGATGGGGGGAATGAGGGAAGGGAGTGGGGGGAATGAGGGAAGGGAGTGGGGGTAATGAGGGAAGGGAGTGGGGGGAATGAGGGAAGGGAGTGGGGGGAATGAGGGAAGGGAGTTGGGGGAATGAGGGAAGGGAGTGGGGGGAATGAGGGAAGGGAGTTGGGGGGATGAGGGAAGGGAGTGGGGGGAATGAGGGAGAGGCGATGCTGCAGGAGATGGCAAATTTCCCCCTCCCACTCACTCTCTCTCCTCTTCCGCTTCTCTCCCCACCGGCATCTCTCTCTCGCCCGTACCTTGGCGGCCATCCGAGCGAGGCTCGTCTTCCCGCATTCTCCCGCCTCCGCGCTGCCTCGTCGCTTTTCGTTTGCGGAGGTGGCTGCTGGGCGGTGTTCCCCTGCGTCAGTTGGGTCTTCTAAGGTGAGCCGCTATTTTAGAGGTGGTGCGCTATGGTTGCCCGAGGGCAGTTGCGGTTTCAGCTGTTTGGGGAGAACTAATGCGCCTACTTTTTGTCCCCGGCATCTACTACTTCCGCATGCCTACTATTCTCAAAGAGTGCCTCTGCTTGTTTCAACCCGCGTTGCTCTTAGCCTTGCCTTAGCTGCGCGCATTTTTTGACAGGGTCCGGGAGTCCCGCTTCTCATGCGGAAGCGCGTTGTGACGCGATTCTGCCCAGGCGCGATCACAGCGCTCTCTCCTGCCCGGACCCGTTTACTCTTGTTATTGTGCGTGTTTGCGCCATACGCATCCCCCTTGCTACTCCGTTCGCCTTCGCCGCAACCTTCGTCCCCCCCCTCCCCCCCCCCCCCCCCCCCCTCCCTTTTTTCCCCGTGCAGTACGCGTCTGCTGTTTTTTTTTCCTCTGTGTTTTCGTTTGTGACACGGTTCTGCTCCGCGTTATTTGTTTACTGATTGGGTTGTGCCCTCGTAGATGCGCTTCTCCAACCGACGCTTGCATAAGCAATGCAAGGGAGGCCAAAGAATGAGAATTCCCACCAAATACTCCTCATGTTCCCCCTCCAACTGCATGGCTCGACTTGAAAAGCTGCTAACTCGGTCTCCTTGTACTGTTCCTTCCCTTTCTCATACACTGGCTCCAATCACGACCTTGACCCTCATTTCTCCACCTCACGCCACCCCCCATTCACAGAGGGTGCCCCTTCACTCACCGCAGAGCCTCATCCAGGTCCCACGGGAAGTTGGTGGCCGCCAGCATGGTGACAAGCTTGTGCTCGCCATCAGGTGACTTGGCACCATCTGCACCAGCAGCTCCGACTTCATGCGCCGAGACGACTCGTGCTGCCCTTCCGCACTGAAGAAAACACCAGGAGAAACGGGGGAGGAAAAGTCTTAGAAGAAAATAAATGTACGACAGCACAGCAAAACTATGAATCGCCCACATACATTCTCCGAAGGGCACCTGGGCACTGCGCTTACCCTCTTGACGTGCAGAGCGAGTCGATCTCATCAATGAAGACCAACGGGGCGTACAGGAGCACCAAGTCGAACAGGCAGCGCACCATGCGCTCGCTCTCGTCCCTCCACTTGGAGGCGAGCGAGGCCGGGGAGAAGTTGAAAAAGGTCGCACTGAACTCAGTCACCACTGCCTTAGCTAGCATCATCTTGCCTGTGCCAGGCGGGCAGAACAGCAGCACTCCCTTCCACGGCCTCCAGATGCCCTGGAGAGTAGAGGGACACAACACGGAGTGGCAGCAAAGTGGTGTGGTTACTTGCACAATTTTCGATACCTTAAGAAAAAAAAACACTTGCAGGACAGGGATGAGAAGCAAGCATAAAAAAAACACTTGCCCAACAGGGATGAGAAGCAAGCATTGGAGCGGCGATCAACGGGGAACATCAGCACAGCATGCAGAGCTCCGGTTTACGGCATTCCAGTGCACCTGAAAGTAGTCGGGGACGAGCAGAGGCAGCACGAC